TGTAGTAACAAACACCGTCATCACTATAATGAACAGCTATATATATTCTCGATAATATAAAATTACATGTTTGCAATAACACGAGGTGCGTATCATACAATATTTCACAACAGCAAGTATGCATCGTCGATGCGATGACAGTTGCGAGTATCATTGATCATCAGATGGCAACGGAAATCATCGTCGTCGAGCGGCGGTGCATCGAGCTTTTCTCGTCTTGACGCAGTGATGAAAATAGAAAGAACACAAAACTCCAGCCTTGAAATCTCGTATTATTATGCAGCTACAGTTAACGACTGTACTACCGTAGTAATTAACTAGAATCTAAAACGATCTCTCGTAAAGGATAGAAGCATTAATCAATTCGAGTGAAATCATCTATTAATTTACGAGCATTCAAAAGAAAAAGAAAAAGACAAATAAAAGATAAGACATAAATGTAGTAAAGGGAGGAGAAAAGTTATTATATCCGTCACACATCAAAACGATGTTTCTCATAAATACCACAGAATAACTATATTACAAAATATACAGGTTCACAGAATTATGCTTAAATCGTTTAGAATCGGCACATTGTTTCCTCGATGCGCGACAGAAATATTTACGATTTCTTGTTTTACTATATTTTTCTAATATTACGGTAATTACATAAATACACATTTATTTACAGTTTGCTCCCTGCATGCCTTACAACTAATCGATTGAAGAGAAATCTCCATTATTCGAATAATTTTCATTCTATCTTTTTAAATTCTAAGTGCACATAGAACATCTATGAGAAACAAATACTTTACGTCCAATTATTGTTTTTCGCTTGTACATATCGTCAGAATTTTATTTACAGAAAAGAAGATAGTTTATGGTCGTGTGTTATCGATAACTAAATGGTCAACTAAAACTTATAAAATATAGCCGGACAACGCTATATTCAAGTTAGCCTGGTTCCATTAGCTACCGTCCCATCTTGATTTCACACGCAACTGAATTTGACACCTAAAATATTAGAATTTTTATTGCAAAGCAACAGATATGAAACGTTATATAAGTGTACGATACATTATTTAAAGGAATTGATGCGTATTTTGTATGCTTATGAAAGTAATTATTGTCGGTTGAAGATCGTTGACGTTACCTAATTTTAGCCACAGGTATAAATAGTAAAAGTTAAATTCGGATACCGTCGTCGCTGGAGTAGCAGTTATGGCAGTGAAGCTTTTGATTCCTAACGCGTACGTCTGTTCCCATTAGTCCGTCACCAAGTCGTACGTGACACACGCAACATTTGAAGCATTCCATGTGATAAAACAGTCGTAGGCTTTCAATGATCATCGCAGCACCGCGACCTGATGGGACATGAGTTCTTAATTTAGTCTTTTAAACAATTAAAAGCATATTATATGAACACTGACAATATGTTGTACGACGATTAAAATATTTTGTCTATACCTAATTCATCCCCGCAATGCGAACACTTTTTCTTTCCGCTAACACTCAGCATCTTCTCTTGATTCTCAGTGTTCATCGGGGTTGGTTGCTGAGGTTTTTGTGTCTGCATAACGTGTTGCTGTGGTTGCGGTTGCAACGCCGATAGATGTTCTTGACTGGTGCTGTGTTCCAATCTAGAGAATTACATACGAATTAAAAAAATAATTTCCAAACATGATACATTATAAATACTTTTTAATCTATTAACCTTCTTCTCGGTGGAAGAGGTTTTTCTTGTGCTCTGCTTTGCACTCTTTGCGTAAGGGTTTGTATAATCGAATCAGGTAATGGTTTACTGTCTGTCCTCGATGAAGTCATGGGATAAGGAACCGATGTTCCTGTTACGTGCATTTGAGGTTTCCGCGCTGGTGACCGTTGATTCTTTTCATTAATTCTTCTTTGTTCCGCTTCCTACGTATAATGCATTATATTAATATAAAATACTCTTGTACTTTCATCCTTTTCTGAGATCTCAGCACCTACCTGGATGAGCCAATGTTGGTAATTCAAATCGTGAGCACCTCGTGGCACGTCGCTTTTTCTTCGTTGGACCCATTGATCACTCTGAACGATCCGTGGCCGAGGAACTGCACTAAGAGCTTGCAACGTTTGTCTGCTCATCTGTTGTCCACTGTGGCTCGAAAGCGTTGTAATCGATGCGCTATGACGCAACGATGCATCCACTTGTTGAGGAATCGAATCAGCCGAGGGGACTCTGCTACTCCTGTTCATTTTTTATATATAAATTATAAATTATGATTTAATTACTTCACGTAATTTTTTCTTTGCTTCTCATTTTTATTTTGTATAATTATATTTCTAACATGACCTTGCTCAACTTGTAACTAAGATGTGAACTGAATATGTAATCGAGCGATGTGCCATTTAGACAGGGGATGTTACATAAGATGTACCAGACCGGAAAATTTCAACAGGAAATTAAACGACACAATTAGGTAACTAGATTCCGACTTTAATTTGCATTTCCTGCTAGTTGATACGTATTTAAAAGGCTGACATAACGATGTGCTGCTACAAGTTACATTTTTTCCCATTTTGTAGAAGACTTTAATTTATTAGAAATCAAGTTAATTGAATGAAAAAAGTAATTGTACCTTATAGTAACGTCTCTTTGTCTCTGCTCAATCAACCGCAATGGTTTAGCAGGCGGTATGGGAGGAGGTGGAGGTCTTCTTCTCTCCTGGAGCTGAAGATTGGGCATCGAAGACCTGTAATTCACCGGTGGTTGGCTCTTGTACTGTTGAATATTGTTCGCGGAGCTATGCGCAACATCTTGCAACGATTTCCATTGTTCTTGCAACTGTTCTGCCAATTTCAGTTGCTTTTGTTCACGATACGCCAGGTTGTTTCGTTGACGTTTCAATTCTTCTTGTTCTAACTGCAGCAACTCCCGTTCCACTCTAAGGACCTCCTGCTCGATAAAAAAATTTAATTACTTTCATTAAACTATAAACATTGCTTATTTTCTTTTATTTAAAAAAATCTTTGCTTCAATGAATGCTCGCGAGTTGTGCTTTCTCTGTGTAAAGTTTAGAATTATTTTGCTACCTTGTCTACTTTTTGTTAGAAGCAAGCAATGAAAGGGGCTAGGAAAAATTACGAAAGATACTGTTTCCCTTACCCCGGAAGCAAATTCGTCTTCTTCATCGTTCAAACCAGCACCAACCAATGACGTGGTCTGTGAATAATTATTAACGATACTCCGGTTAGGTAATACAGTGCAACATACTTAATGTACAGCATGCGGTTATTTCAAACGGATCGTCAGCATTCCTTCGGCTAAATTTTTGAAAGAGAACATTGTCTAATACCTTGAGCAACAAAAATCTTATTACTTCAAGTGTGATTGATGAGTGTATTTCTTTATTAGATTATTCTTATAATATTGGACTTTTTGCATTTGACTTTTAGTGCTGTCTCGAGTGAAACTGGTAATGGTACATGTATTGCATTAGTGAAATTATTATTAGTTTCCATCTTTATAATTTGAACTTTATCCCAATTTCAAATAGTCATATCATGTACAATCAACCAGAATTTATCATACGGGATGACAATGCTTGGAAGCATCCGCACCCACATAAATCTCCAAACATGGATGAAAAAGAAAAAACCAATCAAGGAACCGTACCTCTTGTTCTCGAATTTGATTTTCCATGGCTCTGATGCGTTTCTCTTCGATGCGTCGTGCGTCCATCTCTTCCTCGATCTCCTTCTGGATCCTCAACTGTTCTGCCTGCGCCCTCAGCTCCTCCTCCTGTCTTTTCTCTTCCGCGCGCTTCGCTTCAGCCTCGGCACGCGCCACTTCCTGCTGCCTCGCGATCTCATCCTGCTGTTTACGCAACATCTCTTCTTGTTTGCGCGCGTTGTCCTCGTTGTTCTTACGCAGAGTCTCTTCTTGTCGACGCAGTACCACTTCCTGAGCGCGTTCCCTCTCCAACTGCATCTTCTCCTCTTCAAGTTCGCGCAGCTTGTGCGCCAATTTCTCGCCCAAGTCACTGTATTCGTTATTAATTAATTTCTCGATTACTCGACTTCAACGGGCCTGCCACCACAAGTCGATTTTTTTTCTAGCATGTACAAAGGCTTATAGTGTTCGTAAGGACGCGATGATAGCGATAGCGACAGCTACACGGCAGGAAAACACCACCAGAATTCTCCAGATAAACGATTTTATTTTTCATCACCGTTTATTTTATTTTATTTTACTTTATTTTTTTACATTGATCCCGAAATACATCAATTTATCGCAGTTTTATTATATACACACACAAGAAACTTAGAGATATTTGATTCGTCGTAGTGATCACCGAAGACGACAGTTTGTGAAACTTCATGTAAATACCTTATGAATTTTAAAAAGAAGTTCACCTCTGTAGACAAGAACTGTTTTAGAACAGAACGTTTATAAAATAAATATATATAACAAATGGTACATCGTGTACCACAATCAAATTAACGTCTTCGATTTCACTGGCATGCTTCCGACGAATGGAGATTATTACAAGAATCTCCGTGCAAATAGGTACCTGAGGTAGCTATTAAATAGAACCTTAAGCGAGCGTTACTTTAAAGTAGCTCAAAGAAATTCGATAAAATGAAAACATAAGATTTGTTCGCCTATAGCTAGAAAGCCGGTGATACTCAGAAATAGAATGCGTCAACGTTTACCGAAACCCGAAAAATAGAATGCTACAAGAAGAAAATAGAAGAAACGATAGTACATAGTATATACAATTCGTCCAGAGAAAAGCGACATCGTGTCCATAGTCGGTAAAGTTTATTTTTAATAGCCAATTCATTTCTAGCACCCACCATCACATATAAATTTTCCCGGATAATTCCTACCTGTTCATTTCACGATTGTTGCCGTACCGCCACTGCTCTTCTTTTTCAAGGACCTCTATGATCTCCCGCTCCTTCTTCGTGATCTCATCTTCTTCAGAAGAGGTCACGCTGGCGCCGAACGGTTCACTGCTTTGGCGGCTGTGCTGAGACATGTCCGGGCTGACCGGTTGCTTTGTCCAGTCCTCGGCATGGCCCAATTCCACGCCGGAATCCCTCTCGTGGCTTGAATCTTGCTCGTAGTTGCTGTCCGTGTCGTACGAGCGACGATGAAGCTGTTCAATGCGTCTCTCCTCTGCTAGGATTGCTGCCATGTCTGGTGGTTTAGTAAGAGTCAGTTCACGTTCCAACTCGTCATCGTTTACCTGGAAATTTTGACAATTATTTGTTAAAATAAATATGAGTCAATGGATCGTGGCAAGATAAGAGTAACGATAAAATATAATCGTGTTCTAAGTAAATTTTCTGTTCCACTTTGTTGGGCTTCAAATGGCTTATCGTAGAGCAAAAAGATATTTTAAAAATGAGATATTCTTTTTTACGAGGTGCTCACGCGTCTAACGCCTCACGACCAACGAACGCGCATACGCTTTTCATCAGACGGCGTATAATTGCGAGTGTACGTTACGTAAACGTATTCATGTGCTCTAATTAATATCATTAAACGATGATACAATCTCTGTGGAACGTTAAACGCGGGTGCGCCATCAAATACGACACTTCCGGAAACGAGTGAAAGCCACCCATACAAGGTGGAAAGCTGTGAGAAAAACGAAAGTATCGACCACGAGAGAAGACAAGGCGTGGAAAATATTTCGACCACGCACACACTTTTTCGCATTGAATATTTCATTACGAATACGGAGAAAATAATGAATAATTTAATGCGATATTGGCGACAGTACCCCTTCAATTCCGAGAAAATCGGAGCGTCTTGTGCGCAGTTCCTTTTTTATTCTGCGCGTGGAATTCAATCTCTTCAAAGGTTCCACGGGAAGATTCTCCTCGTCGCTTACATCTACCGGAGGCGGAGGCGGTTTCTCTTTCGGCGGTTCCACGCTGGTCGGTGGCCCCAATGGGAACGACAGACCGGCGACTATTTCCTCGTCGCTGGATAAATTTAGGGGCAAAATCTGTTTAAAAAATAAATTAAAATATTAAGTAGAATGTGTTTAGTTGTTTTTCATATTAGTGGTAGTACGCGTAAGATAATTAATCATTTGCAGTTTCATTTGATCGTCAAGGAAATTGATGGTACGAGAATACAATATACATATACAATGTAGCACAAAATTAAACAGAAACGTCAACCCATAAAACATTCGTAACATAATAAACTATCATTAGGAAACCATTCTCACCAATTTCTCTGCGAACGAGTCGACAGAACAATTACTGACTTACAAAGTAAATTAACGTCAAAATACGTATGCAAGGATAAGGAGCTATTCTATGTAAATTCTTGACTTCATTTGCCTCGGAATACTAAAATGAGGGTAGTAAAGTGTACATACACAGTAGACGTTCGTTATTTCCTTACCTGTTTCGAAATGGGCGATACCGGGCTGAGCAGGCAACTCATCGTGTCCAGCGTGCTGATTTCCGGTTTGCAAAGGGTCAAGGTTGTTGGTCTTCCAGGCACAGGGACGTCTCCAAGTTCAAATGTGGCCTCAGGTGCATCCCGCGTGTTAATCGACTTGTCAATCGATTTTCGTGCCGTTGGTGATGGCTCGTACTGCACGATCTTCTCGTTCATCGTCGCCTCCGCTTCCTTGTACTCTTCGTGTTCGACTGGCGACGGACTAGTCGGCTTGCAAATCGCCGCTGTTTCCTTCTCGACGTCGACGTCTGTTGTGTTCTCGATAACGATCGGTTCCTGAAGAGACGTGGGTCCGCGTTATTGCTTTTGTGGTATGGAACCGAGTTCGCGGTTAGGCACCGCTACGAATTTTGCAACGTTACATTCTATGCAAATTGACACGGGCTGGTTGCAGGCCCGTGGGCCAGGGTTTCTCAAACTTTGGGGTCGGTCTCGGGCGACCTTTCCGCCGATTTAGATTCATTTTCTATTACGTAATGTACTTAATAGAATTGAATGATACTGCGGATTAAAGGTGCAAATTTTATTTTGATTTTATGCGGTGCAAGTATTTCTTTTACTGACAGAAGTGATGTATATTATTTCTTTAAAACCTTTCCAGTTCTAATTACAAAGACAAATTTTTTTATAACGGTGAGGACATGCTTTTAAGGAAAAACTGGTTCAATAAATTGCATATGTTATATGTGTATTATTATTATTAATACCGATGTCTATATATATGAAGAGGTTTTTATCAATTGGCAGTTACGATATGAGTGATGATCTTGACATAGCTGTAATTAAGAATAACACGTTCAAGCTTGAGAAACTCTGGATTTAGAGCAACAAGTTGACAAGCAACAGCGATTTCGAATGGAAGATTATTTTGCATTCTACTCGATCTGATCTTATTCGGCTATTGTTTTTTTTTTGTTTTTTTCGATAGACATCGATACACCATCGGTCATGCATAACTAACGTGAACTTCTGTGTAAAATTCGTGCAGGAATAAACGTACAAAATGAGAAGTTAGTCTGTGAGAGCTGATTAATTAAAAAGGGTAAATGAAAATTCACGCATTCAGAAAATGGCAATGATAAATATATATAACATAAAGTAGAATATGGTTTCAGAATTGAGCAATTTATATCGTATAATATCTGTGAATAAATGGCTAATTATTTTCGAATACATACAGCCCAGTGCTTATTATCATTTAAGGAATTATTAAGTGAACAGGCAACTTTGTCACTGTATCTTGCTCCGTTACTCCTGCTGTACCACATCGCGTGCACTTTTAGTCACTGAATGAAGCATTCTGCATGCAGTTTGTCATTTCGCAAGTTTCAATGCAAGTATCACGTCATATACCTCAGTATTAATAATGATTAAGTAACTAAATAAGGATAAGATTTTTCAGCAATAATGATAACATCTTTTATCTGTATGTAGTTATGGGTAGGTTCAGATATGTGACTTTTATTGCTGATAATTATCTTGCATTATTCACTAGAAACATTATCATTTCTATTCTTTACTCCATGACGAAAACTGCGTTCACTTTTTTATATTTTGGGCTACAACGAATTGAATTTGAAATATAATAAAAAATGACAGTGTCTGAAGTTTTGTTGAACATTGAAAAAGTATTTTACAGATATAACAGATATAAATGGGAGAAATAGAGTTGATTTAGAGAAGATTTCCGAAATAAATTTTTCAACCTAATGCCCGATGACAAAAAGCAAGATTAAACATTTACTAATACATTTCCTATCATGCGTTGAAATGCTGTGGTAAAAATGTTACTTATAACAAAAGTACCTCTACACATATATCATTCTACGATTATGCTATCTTCGTTCAGTGTTATACACAATTGCTCTAAGAAGCAAACGTGACCGGATTTAGAGTCATTAAATTAGCATCTTGGATCATCAAGTTCAACAATAATTTTAAAAAATTCATTATCGGTGAGTTTAATTACTTCTTAGAAAATGTTATAATCCGAGAAGAATTATTTTATGATTACGTTCTTTTATTACGGTGCAAGATAGTTGTATTATAGTATACACATCGGCAAATTTCCAATGATTAGATTAACACTAAAGTCATTAAATAGAACATGCTTTGTAATAGCTTAAAAAATGAATTGTGAGAGTTTATTACATTTCGCAATCACCTTATCATCTCTGTAAAAATATAAGTAACGTATAGAAGATTTCTTATATATACATATATTAATAATTGCGGATAAAGTGATATTAAGAATGTTAAGATAAATGTTTTGTGATTTGAGTGCCTAAATTCTACATGACATATACAATAATATCCAACCTTGAATATTAATCTATATGTATTATTTTGCTTCGTGAAATAGTGTTTGAAAATTCCTAAAAGGTAGGTAATAAAAAAAGATAATGTGTCGATACGATTGACGCAAGACTGGGGAACTGATAAAAAATAAATTCAGTTTGAGCCATGCATAATCTCGGGTCGGAAGCCAATATGAAAACTAGCGATAAGCAGGATAACTAAATAGTAGAACAAGTTGTGGGGGAAAACACATGTCTGTGAGGTTTATTGCTAGCTCGAGCAATAGAAAGCGCCGTCTTACCTCTGTACAGTAGCGAAGCTTACAATTTAGGACACTCGATTGTAATTGCACGATGATGATTCTTGTCACATCTAGTTGGTCGACTAGCAGAAGATGGAACAAAATTCTACCACTGGTAGACTCATTTTTCAAGCGAGTTAAGTAGAATATTTAAAAAAAGTAAACAATTAAACAATGCCCGAATTTTAGTCCAGGAAAATAACGAAATTGAAAAAAGTTTCAATAGCCAAAAAATGAAGAGAAGAATAATTGAAGATAAATTGGAGACATTAATTTGGCGAAGAAAATATTCATCACTTTTGATCTTAGAGACCAACAAAATTTAAATATTATTGATGGTATTACTGGTTAATTATTGGAGAATTATGCGGCTGGTCAAGCTGGATGAACTCGGTTAACAAAAAAATGTTTTCAACCATCAACAAATAAATGTCACCAGTGGGATTGTCACACGGTTCTTACCTCCTTCAATGCGCTGATTATGCGTATGTCACAGAGGAACTCCAACCTTGAATATTAATCTATATGTATTATTTTGCTTCGTGAAATAGTGTTTGAAAATTCCTAAAAGGTAGGTAATAAAAAAAGATAATGTGTCGATACGATTGACGCAAGACTGGGGAACTGATAAAAAATAAATTCAGTTTGAGCCATGCATAATCTCGGGTCGGAAGCCAATATGAAAACTAGCGATAAGCAGGATAACTAAATAGTAGAACAAGTTGTGGGGGAAAACACATGTCTGTGAGGTTTATTGCTAGCTCGAGCAATAGAAAGCGCCGTCTTACCTCTGTACAGTAGCGAAGCTTACAATTTAGGACACTCGATTGTAATTGCACGATGATGATTCTTGTCACATCTAGTTGGTCGACTAGCAGAAGATGGAACAAAATTCTACCACTGGTAGACTCATTTTTCAAGCGAGTTAAGTAGAATATTTAAAAAAAATAAACAATTAAACAATGCCCGAATTTTAGTCCAGGAAAATAACGAAATTGAAAAAAGTTTCAATAGCCAAAAAATGAAGAGAAGAATAATTGAAGATAAATTGGAGACATTAATTTGGCGAAGAAAATATTCATCACTTTTGATGTTAGAGACCAACAAAATTGAAATATTATTGATGGTATTACTGGTTAATTATTGGAGAATTATGCGGCTGGTCAAGCTGGATGAACTCGGTTAACAAAAAAATTTTCAACCATCAACAAATAAATGTCACCAGTGGGATTGTCACACGGTTCTTACCTCCTTCAATGCGCTGATTATGCGTATGTCACAGAGGAACGAACCTGACGTCTTGAGATAATAGAACGATCAATCGGGACAATTCAGGACACTTTTATCGTGGCACGGGTCAATTACGAGCGTCTTCAGTAATAATTAAATATCACTCCGCCCGACCTCCGAGCCACGGTTCACGAGAAGACCACACTTTGAACGCGTTCGTTGTTGGATCGCAACTGGACTCGACCCGAAGCCCGAGTCAACTTGTTTACCATCGATACGTATCGTGGAGGCAAGATAAGACAATTTTCGATGTCATTCGTTATTGATTAGTATAAAAGATTTTTTCTTTGAGAAATTGAGATTGACTACAACGGGTTCTTTAGTGAACAAATTAGTAGAAGATGATTTGAAAATTTGTACGGTTTCTTTTTTATTTGGGATCCAGACGTTTCGAACATCTACAGTAAAATTACCACCTCTTGTTTCGAACATTTTTCAAGACAACGAAGTCAATAATAAATCGATCAACGTTTTGCAACTGTAAATTGATATATGGCAGTGTATTGTCTATCGAAATTGAATGCATTCTATAATGATTATTGATATCACGTATTAAATCGGAATTAGGATGTTTCAAAGCAGAAGTGAATCATCGGCAATTAATTTTCACGTATGGATGAACCATATCAATTGTTTTCAGTCTTCGCAATTTGGATTCATTCGTGCTTGAAAATCCGTTTCTGAAAATCTCGATGCTGTTTGCGGTTACGATGGAAACACGATACGACAAATTTCTCTGTTCACTGAATTTTATATTTCATTAACCACATACGCCTTTCTCAAGCGTTACAATCGATTCTTATCCGCTAGTGCGCGCCAACCGTCGACAAGTCGGTTTAAGATCGAATACAAGTTAATCTAAAACGAAGTCTCACGTTCAGAGAACTCTAATACTCGCGATTAGTTTTCTTTTTTTTATACGATCCTTCGTTTTTCCAGCACTCAAGAGTCCTTAGTTGAATATCATTATGAGAGTATCGTTAACATCGTTTCGGCGAGTTTTCTTAATTTTCATATCACAATGTCGATCGGTCGTTAGGCATCGGTGATTAGGTCCGAAATGTTCGATTAGGCCACTATATTTCCGCGATTACCGATGCGGCGTTCATAGATATATGTACGTCCGTTTAGCTCCAGCTAGTACGTGTTTCCTGCTACCTGTTCTAATTCTACTCGATACTTGGGGTTATTATGTACGTTTTGCTCCTGCATCGTCTATTTACATCGTTAGCTATGGTCTCACACCATCGTTTCCAGCGAGATTTTTGCGTAATGACGGGTAATAAATACGTGTGGAAGCGATAGGCGAAGACGGGTTACATTATCCGGGTGTCCTAAGTGGCGGGATTCAGTTTCCTGATCTGATAGATTCGAGACACGAAAATGATTTGCCGGTGGTATCATCAAGATCGGAACGCGTTTTATATTCAAGATATTCATGTAATGAAGATCGATGGTTAATAATATAAAACGAGGCACGATATTGGAATTATTCTGGTAGTTTTGATAGAAGCTAGTAAGAAAGTACTTCGCCGTTGGTGTGCGGTTTTCAAACCCATACCTACAGAACGATTCTGGCTATTCCCGCCGCTTGGACATCCGCTTCTAAAGCCCATTCTTATGTACAAGATCTAATGGAAGTTAGACGAAGCTGGGTCTAACAGAAGGGCGAAAGACAATGTGCTACGCAAAGGATAGCCAAGGGGAGAACGAACGATTCGAGGATTCTCGATCTCCCCAGTTTCTTAAGATTTTCTCGAGGGGCTGCTAGATTGCTGATCAATCCTAACCTCGGTCGCTGAGCTTTGCTTCTCATTGACGCGATCCACGGTGATGAATGGCGTCACTGGAGGCGTCGTAGGTGTCTTGCCCTGAGGTACCACCACCTTTTCGCAAATTTCCACCACCGTTCGCCGTCTCTCCGCAGGCAGTGTCTCTTCACCCACCGTCACCTGGTGTTTCGTGTTGGATGTGGGAGAGGTCGGATGTTGTTTCGCGCTGAAGGCCAGAGGCGAGTGGTCAAGACTCGAGGAGGGCGAGACGGGGATACTTGAGCTAGGTGATACGTTAGAACCGACTGGAATCGGTATTTCCGACGCTTTTGGAAATTGTGGGAACGACATCGGACTCTTAATGTTAGACGTTCTGGCTTTTAACGTTGGCGTTTTCGGGGAGGATGGCGAGGTAGGCGGGCTTAGGGAGGACGTGGAACTGCTTGGAGAACATTTCGTGGCTATTGTCTTTCTGGGAAGAGGCGTGGGTATTTTGGATGCCGCACGCGGAGATGTAACTGGTGTGCTCTTTGAAACTTCTTTCGCGGTACAGTTCGAAGTTGAGGTAGCGGTAGACTCTAGCTGGAGGTTCGTCGGAACGGCTGCCACTCTGGCGAGCGAGGGAGAACAACCATCTACGATGGTAGAGTCTAATAATGTCGGTGAGGAACTCGTAACTTTCGTTAAATCCTCCTTCGAGACACTAGTACTTTTTTCATCGATAACTAATTTCGTAGTCTGCTCGTCCGCAGGAAATTTGGAGCTGGACACGTTAGAATTCGATTCTTTGGCGGGCGGGGAATTCGTTTTGGTATCAGTGTGTTCTTTGGCGACAGGTAGTTTCGGTTTCGGGGGCATTTCGGGAGGTGACCGTCGTGGAGGTACTTTAGGACTTTGATACACGATCGGACGACTTGTGGTAGGACAGGAATAAAGTGTACTGGAGTTAGTAATCTCTATCTGTGTCTGCGATTGTGATTTGTTAGTCGACAGTTCCCCAGAAGTGTCAGCAGTACCCTAGAGAACCAAAGAGTTATTGAATAGATCGTACTACTTACCGTCCCGCAACCGAACAACATGAATAGATAGGTATTCAAAGTAGTGGTTTAATTCATTAAGAAAATTAGTACCACATATAATGATATATACCTTTTAATTTAAAAAATTAAAAAAATATCCTTCAATGCGCTGATTATGCGTATGTCACAGAGGAACGAACCTGACGTCTTGAGATAATAGAACGATCAATCGGGACAATTCAGGACACTTTTATCGTGGCACGGGTCAATTACGAGCGTCTTCAGTAATAATTAAATATCACTCCGCCCGACCTCCGAGCCACGGTTCACGAGAAGACCACACTTTGAACGCGTTCGTTGTTGGATCGCAACTGGACTCGACCCGAAGCCCGAGTCAACTTGTTTACCATCGATACGTATCGTGGAGGCAAGATAAGACAATTTTCGATGTCATTCGTTATTGATTAGTATAAAAGATTTTTTCTTTGAGAAATTGAGATTGACTACAACGGGTTCTTTAGTGAACAAATTAGTAGAAGATGATTTGAAAATTTGTACGGTTTCTTTTTTATTTGGGATCCAGACGTTTCGAACATCTACAGTAAAATTACCACCTCTTGTTTCGAACATTTTTCAAGACAACGAAGTCAATAATAAATCGATCAACGTTTTGCAACTGTAAATTGATATATGGCAGTGTATTGTCTATCGAAATTGAATGCATTCTATAATGATTATTGATATCACGTATTAAATCGGAATTAGGATGTTTCAAAGCAGAAGTGAATCATCGGCAATTAATTTTCACGTATGGATGAACCATATCAATTGTTTTCAGTCTTCGCAATTTGGATTCATTCGTGCTTGAAAATCCGTTTCTGAAAATCTCGATGCTGTTTGCGGTTACGATGGAAACACGATACGACAAATTTCTCTGTTCACTGAATTTTATATTTCATTAACCACATACGCCTTTCTCAAGCGTTACAATCGATTCTTATCCGCTAGTGCGCGCCAACCGTCGACAAGTCGGTTTAAGATCGAATACAAGTTAATCTAAAACGAAGTCTCACGTTCAGAGAACTCTAATACTCGCGATTAGTTTTCTTTTTTTTATACGATCCTTCGTTTTTCCAGCACTCAAGAGTCCTTAGTTGAATATCATTATGAGAGTATCGTTAACATCGTTTCGGCGAGTTTTCTTAATTTTCATATCACAATGTCGATCGGTCGTTAGGCATCGGTGATTAGGTCCGAAATGTTCGATTAGGCCACTATATTTCCGCGATTACCGATGCGGCGTTCATAGATATATGTACGTCCGTTTAGCTCCAGCTAGTACGTGTTTCCTGCTACCTGTTCTAATTCTACTCGATACTTGGGGTTATTATGTACGTTTTGCTCCTGCATCGTCTATTTACATCGTTAGCTATGGTCTCACACCATCGTTTCCAGCGAGATTTTTGCGTAATGACGGGTAATAAATACGTGTGGAAGCGATAGGCGAAGACGGGTTACATTATCCGGGTGTCCTAAGTGGCGGGATTCAGTTTCCTGATCTGATAGATTCGAGACACGAAAATGATTTGCCGGTGGTATCATCAAGATCGGAACGCGTTTTATATTCAAGATATTCATGTAATGAAGATCGATGGTTAATAATATAAAACGAGGCACGATATTGGAATTATTCTGGTAGTTTTGATAGAAGCTAGTAAGAAAGTACTTCGCCGTTGGTGTGCGGTTTTCAAACCCATACCTACAGAACGATTCTGGCTATTCCCGCCGCTTGGACATCCGCTTCTAAAGCCCATTCTTATGTACAAGATCTAATGGAAGTTAGACGAAGCTGGGTCTAACAGAAGGGCGAAAGACAATGTGCTACGCAAAGGATAGCCAAGGGGAGAACGAACGATTCGAGGATTCTCGATCTCCCCAGTTTCTTAAGATTTTCTCGAGGGGCTGCTAGATTGCTGATCAATCCTAACCTCGGTCGCTGAGCTTTGCTTCTCATTGACGCGATCCACGGTGATGAATGGCGTCACTGGAGGCGTCGTAGGTGTCTTGCCCTGAGGTACCACCACCTTTTCGCAAATTTCCACCACCGTTCGCCGTCTCTCCGCAGGCAGTGTCTCTTCACCCACCGTCACCTGGTGTTTCGTGTTGGATGTGGGAGAGGTCGGATGTTGTTTCGCGCTGAAGGCCAGAGGCGAGTGGTCAAGACTCGAGGAGGGCGAGACGGGGATACTTGAGCTAGGTGATACGTTAGAACCGACTGGAATCGGTATTTCCGACGCTTTTGGAAATTGTGGGAACGACATCGGACTCTTAATGTTAGACGTTCTGGCTTTTAACGTTGGCGTTTTCGGGGAGGATGGCGAGGTAGGCGGGCTTAGGGAGGACGTGGAACTGCTTGGAGAACATTTCGTGGCTATTGTCTTTCTGGGAAGAGGCGTGGGTATTTTGGATGCCGCACGCGGAGATGTAACTGGTGTGCTCTTTGAAACTTCTTTCGCGGTACAGTTCGAAGTTGAGGTAGCGGTAGACTCTAGCTGGAGGTTCGTCGGAACGGCTGCCACTCTGGCGAGCGAGGGAGAACAACCATCTACGATGGTAGAGTCTAATAATGTCGGTGAGGAACTCGTAACTTTCGTTAAATCCTCCTTCGAGACACTAGTACTTTTTTCATCGATAACTAATTTCGTAGTCTGCTCGTCCGCAGGAAATTTGGAGCTGGACACGTTAGAATTCGATTCTTTGGCGGGCGGGGAATTCGTTTTGGTATCAGTGTGTTCTTTGGCGACAGGTAGTTTCGGTTTCGGGGGCATTTCGGGAGGTGACCGTCGTGGAGGTACTTTAGGACTTTGATACACGATCGGACGACTTGTGGTAGGACAGGAATAAAGTGTACTGGAGTTAGTAATCTCTATCTGTGTCTGCGATTGTGATTTGTTAGTCGACAGTTCCCCAGAAGTGTCAGCAGTACCCTAGAGAACCAAAGAGTTATTGAATAGATCGTACTACTTACCGTCCCGCAACCGAACAACATGAATAGATAGGTATTCAAAGTAGTGGTTTAATTCATTAAGAAAATTAGTACCACATATAATGATATATACCTTTTAATTTAAAAAATTAAAAAAATTTATATTTAGCGTATGAACCGCGTAAAGATTATAATATATGCAGATTGCCCTTCACAAGTTAAATTAACTTGGATATTTTCTCTTTTTATAATCTCAACGACAAAATTAGTCCAAGATACGAAAAGATTGCCGCGAATGTTAAACGACCCATACTGTATCTCATTCAATGGATGCACTTCTACATACTCCAACCATGTCAATGTACGACAACGATTAAAAGTAGCTTTGCATAATAGAAAAACTCCTATGCAATATCAATCACTTACCTTCTTTGCCACTACTGCTACTGGTTGACTGGCAGAAGTCGTCGAGATTTCGTTCACGGACACAGCTGGACTTTCTTCGGTTACACCAGCAGCCACCTCGTTCGTTATTTTAACATCACGCGGCTCCTCCGGTTTCTCTTGGATCACCTCTTGCCTCTCGATGACCGCGCTAGCGTGCACGACGTCCTCATCCACCGGTTCGTCAGCTTGGCTGACGGAGCAGCTCACATCGGCTGTGTGAATTCCAGAATCTTCGCGATCGGTATCATTTAAGAGCTCGGCGGACGATGAGGACGCCGGATAACGTCTACCGTAATCGAGTTCCTCCAAGCTCTGGACACGCTCGAACGTGTCAGGCCCGCTGGAAGCATCCGCGTCCAAAGAATCCAAGCTTCTGTGGAAGGCTGCTCTTGGCACGCGATACTCGGAGTCTGGAGACGAGCTTCTCTCGCTCGGAGTCGACGTGTCGATTCTGTTCTCTTGATCCCGGAAGCACAGCGAGTGTTTGCCCACAGAGGACCTCTTGTCTACGGACTCTTTGCTTCTGGTGGCATCCAAAGCGCTCAAACGATCCTTTATCGTCCTGGCTGATAACTCGCCGTTATGTCGGGACTCGTGAGCGGTACCAGGTACCGACGACTCGTCGCTGCTGCTGTATTTTTCCAGAGTGGACAATCTTTCGCGCAGCGGTCTGACTGTTTCGAGTTCGTCGGTGTTCAGCTTACGATGAGAGGAACTCTTGGTCTCCCTTTCCGAGGTCTGCTTCTCAAGATGAGATAATCTTTCACGGATTGAGCTCATATCGCCGGACAATCTGTTCAGCGTCTTGTTTGTGGATTTTTCGCTGCTGTCCGCTTCCTGCTTCTGTTTCTCCAGATTCGATAGCCGTTCCTTGATTGATTTCGTCCCAGTGAAATCACCGGAGAGCCTGTTGTTCGTTTTGCTTTCATTACCTTTCTGTGATCCTTTCTCGAAAATTTCTCGCCTCTTCAAAATGTCGACCTTCACTACCGGTATGGTGGACTTAGATTCGTCGTTTAAACTCGTCTTCGAGCCGTTCGTCGCCGATTTCGCGTTATCGAGTTTTGCGTCCAAGCTAACTAACGATCGCCTCGGTATATTCTGCGACACTCGCGACACGTAACCGCGTATCGCACCTTCGTACGTGTACTCTTCCGGTTCTGGAGAACTGGTCGTCGCCGTTGTTGCGGAGTCGTATTCTTGGTGGCTGTGGCTGCTGTGGCTGCTATGGAATCCGTTGCCGAACGATTTCTTCGTTGTCGTCGTCGTCGTTATCGACGTCGTCGTCGTCGTCATCGACGTCGTGATATCGTTGCCCATCACATTCTCGTTTGGCACATTATCTACATCCGAGTGATTTTTGTCTATCTCGCTGTCTCTGTCGCTCTGCAATAATTAGCCAAATTTGTATAATGAGAATTTGCTTCATAATATTAAGTCTCGTTAGTAGATAAACACGAGTATGATAGGTATGAACGGTTAAATGTTATTTTCAATGTGGGTGAATGAAATTTAGCAGAATGTAAACGCGGTACTGTTATAAAATGGAATCGTGTTTCGTATAGTAGCGACGCAGATATTCATCTTACCAAGACGCTGTGCGTGTCATCGTGTGTGTCGCCGCTAATCGAGCTCTTTCCGCTGCTGGTACCTATACCAAGGTCGCTCAGGTCATTGGCATCCTCTTCGTGGTACATAGCCAAGCTGATGCTCAGTTTCCGACCCCTATTACCCCTCTCTTCCATCATTTCCGAGAAAGTCTTGCTCCGACGACGCTGCCGATCGTGTTCCTCCAGCTCGAGTTTCTTCACCTCGACCACCCGCTCGATGATGTGCTCCTGACGCTTCCTTCGACTACTCTTCCAGTTGTCCAGATTCTGTGCACATCATAGTAACGACAATGTTAACATATTGCGAAGCAGTTAAGTGATTTTCATGAATAATTCTTACTAATACCATAAAATGTTGATATTTGGAATTCAATATAAAAAGACTTTGTACTTTAATATAAAAATACAGTTCGTACAACGGACGTGCAGTTTTACTTCTAAAATTTTTAAACTGTATCTATTTCCACAAGGATTTATAATGATCATGCGTATTAATAAAATATGATGATATATGTACCGATTGCCAATCTTCCGGATCATCACGAACTTCCTGTTTTATTTTTTTCACTTCCTGAACCTTCTGCAACTGCTCTTGAGCTGTACGATATAACGAGCATGGTCCAACCTTGACGAACTGAAGAGGATTGGTCGCTTGTTTAGGAGGCGTTTTCAGGGTCGTTTTTAATTTTGGCGGCTCGTGTGCAATCTGAAACAGTAAATAAGTCATAGTCCATTAACAGCGTTTCTTATTTCACACCATGAAGATAACAATAAGAAGTGAAAGAGAGAAACGAAAAAGTAATTAGTTCTTAGTTTAATACCGATAGCCGAGCAAAAACGGTTGTTACCGCATTGTCGGCTGACCGGAAGCGGAATCACGCTGCCACGGTATTTAAACCTTTTCTAAAGAGAACTTCGTCGCAAATCGCTGCGCGATGGTTAACGGCAATTGTCGGCTGCTGCTCGGCAAATTGTAATCCTTTGTCCCTTTAATTTCTTTGCGCGTACCGAATTCCAAGTCATTCAACCATCGTACGCTGCTTTAATTTCTTCAATATGATTTATGCGAAATTGAACATCTAGTCAAATACATTGAACTAATGTAAAATATGTATGTATAACAAAACGTGTTATATAGCAAAGTTAAATAACTTGTAGGAAATGCACGAAGCAAAATATGATGTACCATAATGAAATATAACACTCTTTCTGTTGTATAGCAGATTATATGTTATTCTAACAAATTTATAAAACATTTTCCACTTCATTGTTCATATATCATCATAATGCCGTAAAACGTTCAGGACGTAATTCTAGCAGTAGATGCTTGTGTAATTTTAATGGCAAAATATTTTCACAAGAACGATGTTAAATGTTTGTATATTAATTTTGTCAATATAATCATCAATAAATATTCTCCAACTGAGGCTAGTAATACTTGAATAGAGCCATTCATTCGGCAGCTTGTTATTCACCAAATGTATAACTTCCTGCATGATATAAAACTCGACAAAAACCGAGCTGGCTGTCATCGAGAAAATGGAACACAATTTCCTATAGCATTCATCTCGCACCCTCGTAACGTCTCCGGTTGTCGGTCTCTTCCTGCGGAAGTTAACAACGCAAGAAAGGGATACTATACAATACTGTACGCTTACCATCCTCTCGTTTCGCCGCTCCGTAGCGGCAGCCTGTGAGGCAGGCATCTTTCGTTCCTTCCTCCTTCGCTCTTTTCTTCAGGGCTGCCCCTCCTCTTCAGTGTAGCACGACTGCTCGCGCGGTCGGGCCCATCCTACGCTGCGTCCCTGGAACCGATCAACAGGAAATCTTATTTAATTGATGAACTAACGGGAAACGGACGTAGACGCGGACGTCTGGCGGAACGTCGTGAACCCGAGAAACGCGAGAGACTTCGTGAATGCTATCTGATTCCGCACTTCAGGCGGTCAATAGAGCTGTTCGCTTCGGGAACGTTGACGTTGTCAAATACGAACATCAATGCATAGTAATGGAAATATTTACTGCATCGCCTTATTTTATTGAATGTTACAAAGCACAGTTCCTTTTAAATAGCTATATTATATGTATAAGTATGGATTTTGTTTGGATGTATAATTGTTGAAATTGACCTTGAAAATTACTTTTAGTACGTAACAACATTCATTTTTCATAAAATCCTTACAAAAATGATTGTCTATAAATAATAAGCGCCCCATTTGATTAAGGATATATTGGCTATACAATCCCAAGTCAATCCCAAAAGATTATGTACCTTAGAAAAACGCATTTCCTATAATTAAAAAGGGAACGAGTTCCTTGAAAAGGTGCGCGACAATAGCGTGGAAGAAAATCGAGCAATTGCGAAGTAGAGACAAAACTTGGTGAAGGAAAAATATCGAGACGGGCGGACAATAGAAGCTGAAAGAAGACTCTTTACAATGAAAAAAAGGTTTTACACAAAAGCGACCATATACAATGAACTGATGCATGAAAGCGGATAATAAAGAAGGACCGAAAGCATCATAATCAAAGGATGATAACGCCTGAGTATAAACCGTGAATAAATATACAAATATTGATAAATCGAATATTAATCACCAAGATCATTAGCAGCATTGAGGGCAATATAAGATATTTGCGATTCAATTAATCACATAGAAAAAAAGACGGTGCGGCATGTAAATAGAGAAAGGAATGGGAGAGGGAGGAGAGATTTTAATTGTATAAGACTCGGAATAATCTGGAAGGATAGTCAACCCATTATTCAAATAATGCGAATCTAAAAGAGTATCAAACCGGTGATATGATAGTCGTATCGCGTAATATTTTCTCCGATGTGAAGAGAAACTGATTGCAAAAAGGAAGGGTAGGATAGGTAACTTTAAATTGACTCGACAGGCGTAGAGCCGTGTTATAGATTCCTTACATCGGACGAAATCGAGCAGTAGGAATGACTATTTTATCAGAACGAAGTCGAAGGATAACTTGAATACCGCCACTAATGAATTGATTCATTTATGATGTTCCTTCACAAAACGTTAAAAACAATAATTAACGGAGGCGATTGTAATAATTTTATTAAATGAGTACTTCTAAAACGCTCGAAGAAAATGAATTGTACAAGATCAAGAAATATATTATGTTATATAGATAAATGATTCTTGAGGATAATATTAATAAAAGAATTGTAATAAATTCGTACTGTACATTCGTTGATATTACAATAGAGGTAACAAAATTTTTACAGGGAAGTAGGTAGTTCCATGAGTCGATATATTCCTTTCGATGGTCGTTTCGCTAGACTTACACATATCGCTCTACAAGCAAATATTATTGCAGACCGGTTATGTTTGCATGGCACATCCGTTGCAAATGTTCTATTTCGGACGCAACTGCAGCTTTCGTGATCAGCTGAAAGCGTTTCAAGGCTGTTGATTTTTGGCCCGTGAAAAAGTCAACCCGCCACGGTTTCTCTAATATTTATGAGATCAAACAAAAAATGGAGAGATATCTTAATTATGTAAAATGCAATAATATAAAAATAGTTGTGCAATATAAATCAAATCCTAATGATGGGATTATATCATGTGAACTATTTGAAAAGGAAATTAAATTATGGTAATGTAAGATGTGCAACACATACTATGCAGTTATTGAACGCACATTAGAAATTTGAGACATGTTATCATTGATGGCTTGTAAAATAGAACGATCATTTTTCTTATGCACACACATTAACTTCAGTGGTTTACTAATGAAAAGTGTTTTCTAATCTCTTTGATATGACAAATTGTGTCCATCGGAAGATTACAAAAGGCGGACGGTAACCAGGAAATTAAGGAAACTCGGAAAGGCATAGCATGAATAATTGGTAACAGCTTTCCGATCGGCCTAGACGGTTAATCGTTGAGAACGAGAATATGCAAAATCATGTATAATCGTATGCTTATTTATTCATGTAGAGGAACGAGCAGCAATTACGAGGGGCGTGTGTCGTGGGAACGAAAAACCGCACCCTTGATTGTCTCACTTCTTTGGGAATTGTATCGACTTTTCCACCATAAATTTTATGATACATTCTTTCCTGAGTTAATTTTCTTTTGATTGCACGGTAATAAGGGAATAATAACAACTCCCACTCGAGTAATTACTGACTCGAAGAATTCATTTCAGAAGTACCGTAGATGACTATTATGAAATCATATCACGCTTAATAAGGTTGCTTAGCAGACTCTATTGTTGTCAAAAAATCCAATTAAAAAACACACCACATAAACACTATTGTTTTTTAACAAATAAATTTGAATTTCTGGTCCTGGTTAATATTTATAAATAAAACATTATTGTAGCGAAACTCCATTGTCTGACAATTTGTTCTCCACGATTCAATGCATCTAATTCGTTGAATGCATGGATGATTCCGTTGGTCGTAAAAGTTTCTCGGTATCGCGTAGCTATTGTACCATAAAATTCAGTGCTAACATTGTATGGGAACTCCTGTATATTTCATGATGAAAACGAGACGAGGTTTTGCAATACCGACGCAAAAACGATGGCATCGTTGCAAGATATGAAGAACAATATTGAGGAAAAAGAATATTAAGGATACGTACTAACTATGAAAATCCAATTTATCTTCATACCGATCGTTAACTAAGGTCGTAATCCTTACGGGAGTATGTTTAGATGAAACAATGTCTGAAGTTTATGGACGTTTATGTTCTCCAGGCTTTCAGCTCACTTCCTGTTTCTAAAGAGCTGCAGAGTGCTAGAATTTTTTTCATTACAAAACGTGTACGTCAGTGACTCTTCAAAGAGATTGCTAGTGGTTCTTTAAAATTGCAAAATAACTATTATCTTATAAGCACTAACATTTTTAATACACATGCATATATACATAATGTAATCTCTTTCTCAGAATAAGAAAACGTCACAGGTGATTCAGTGAAAATCGAAAGAATTTCGAAACCTGAACTCTATCTTACACAGTATAATAAATTTCACAATGCACTAATATAAAGTTCATAAAAAAGCAATTCACTCTAAGAATTCACTGAGGATTTATAGTACCGTACAAGAGATTCGATCATGCCAGTGGATGACAATATTTGGAACTGACTGAAGCTGGAGTATCAACGACAGCTCTAACCATGATGATGCTGACACGCTCTATATCCTTTGGCGCAATCGTACCGGGGGCAGGGAAGCCGAGGAGAACGATCAAAGGTAGCGGGAATGTCGGCGGAAATCAGGATATATCGATACAGCAGCTTGCATCTCGTCACGAAAACGAGTACGCGTACCTATCCGTTCCGATATCGTCGTAAATCTCGATTGCTCGTAGAGATTTTATCGACGATTAAACATCCTTCTCATCGGCTCCAATCAGTCGGCTTCTATCTCTCTAATGCCGATTCTACCGTGTTAATTGGTTCGACTCATTTCTTTCTGCATCTCTGCGTATATTTTTCATTGCATTTGTCGTCAGTGTCGTGATTGAAACGAAAGATTCAGCAACAGGAAGGGTAATAGTAATATTATTAATTTTTGGGTTTAGTGAGTGATTGAGTACTTTCTAAAAGCGACATACATAATTCTATCTTATCATGATAACTACAATAAGTCGTATCCAATAATGTGATTAACCTCGTTCGAATCATTAAATGATGTATTGTTTAAAACAGTGGACTTTCCAAGGTTATCTACATCAATTAAGACTAATTCATCGATTAACTCTTAATACCCTCCGTACATCTGGGGAAAATAAATGCTAGAAATTTTAGACTCATTACAAATTTATGGAAGTTTTTAAAGAATATAGGTGACTTTCTAAATTACTAAGTATTATCTTTTAACGATAAAACAATGAAATCAGTAAATATCGGAACGTCCTATAAGCGACTCGTGAAAGCTGGGCACGTCTATTTCTCCTGGCAGGGCTGATCTGCATGTCAAAGAGGGGAGGGCTCGCAGGCGTAGCATATTGACACAAGAGGCCTCAAGGAGGTCCAAGGCCGGTTTGACTTGCCTCCGAGGGATTCCTGAGGAATGACTCGGTCGTGAAACACGTTCTTCCGCGAGCGTACGCCCGGAATGTCGTGTGTACTATACAGGCGACGCAACGTGCTCGTAAACGAGTCACGGAAAACCGATTCGCGATCCAGTCGATGGGCAAGCGCGTATAACTGTGTCCGTTCTTGCGACGTTTTCGCGTCGATCCCCGACGGTTATACGGAGTCTGACGACGCGGGTCAATGCAACTGTATATCTATCCAAGGTTTAAGTTTATGTCTCCTATTTACGTAGGTAAGTTGCTGTCCCGTATAAAATCAATCTAATCAAATCTTTTTGCGACCACTCAACCGAGTTTTTAAAGGACCTTTGCAATTTTATTGCGAGAATTATAGTGAAGTAATTATTATTATTACATCGAAATCATTTTATCCATTTTTTATTAGAAAGAAAAATACTCCGTCATCATGATTTTCCATATGTTTTGCTGTGATGTAATAAAATAATTAGGGCTTCTTGAGGCGATACTGTAATAGTCTTGCGTGCTATAAATTTTTTGATGACACAGGAAAATTCATACTATCACCGGAGGTTTTAAAGTGCGAGCCAAATACCCACGCATAACTCGGTAAACTCGTTAGAGTGAGGAAAGCCCAGCATTACCTTGATCCCGATAACCGTCGAGAAACCATATTCGTCTTTAATAACAAGCACATACTGGGAATTTCTTAACCTGATTACCTTCCCTCGCTGCCATTACCAACCACCTCCGCCGGGCAACATTATCCACGCATCAACGAGCAAATGAAATCCAGTGGTCATCGGATTTCGCATTTCTTTCGGAGTGAAAACGTGTGATCGATGAAATACAAAAATTCTATCCTCCGCAATGTAAATAGAACAGATCGTCCAAACGGGTAATCAATCTTTGTCGTTTATTCTACTTTACTAGTCACTGAAAGCAACCTCGATACTTTAACTGGATCAATATTATAGCGGTGTGTGCGTGCGGCAAATCTCGCTCGTTAGTCGGAGGATGATGACGGCCGAGGAGTAAACGGGAGGGGAGGATAAGGCGAAGAGGATTCCCGGTCGTAAACACAATTTCATGAAGATTCGTTAGAGCTCGACGAGGTGTTAATGTCCTGGTGGCGAGCGCCGGCTAAGAAGATTACGCGGATTTGCGTTTGGCGTTCTGAAATTAATGACGGTCGCGGCGATATGGCGCAGGAGGATAGGGAAGAAAAAGAAGACGAAGAACCACGTACGGCGTTAAGAAGATGAAAGGGTGGAGGTGGGCAAAGACGCATCTCATGCCTTAACTCATGCCTAAACATGAAAGCTACCGAGTCGACTTAACGCGAGTTATAACGCGGCGAGCGTACTTCGCATCGGGTCGCCTTAAATCGCAGCTCGCAATGTATTTACGTGATACCGGCGCGCTGCGCTACGATCTATTCTGGCGCAGCATCCGGGAAAAATGGTTTTTCTTCACGCCTCACAATAAAGATCGAGCACGATCTGCTGCGCGATGCAAGAACATTTGTAATTCTTAAGATTTCATACAATGTTTTATATTAAAATGAACATTTTTAATGTTTTTTAGGATCTTAGAGCATCAAATCGTGGAGTATATGCAATCCAGTGATAAACTACGATTCACATTCGATTTACTATGCAGTTATTAGTACAATCAAGATACCTTTATTACCTATGTAAATAATTATCTAACCCACACAAAGCTATTCCTTCCTACATTCTTTCCTTGCTAATCGATCACCATTCTCGAAAGGAATCGCGAGCCGAGATCGGTGGAGAAGGGAAAACAAACGATAATTCTGGCTGTCTATCATTTTTATGTATCGCCTACGATCATTAAACAGCATTATTAATTTTACTGACTGTCACAGGGTTCGAGTAAAACGATCGTTTCGGAATGAGCAACACTAACAGCGGACGCTCCGAGCACGCTGCCGCGAGACTCCACTAATTGCCACGTAGCTAACCTTAATTACACCTACGATCATTTATCTAATCGTACAATCATTATTTGTACGAGAGCAAACCTGCCGTTAGTTTTACGCGATAAAATCGCAGAAGATGGTTCGAGCGGTTGGGTGTCGAAAGACGAAGCTCCCGGACTTGCAACTGCAGGGCATCAATATATGCATAATTATCAATGTTCTATTTTAACAATCTACAACGTTACAATTATATTTCCATTGCATGGATAGATTGATTTGTTTTGGATAGCTGTGTGTACTACAGGCAATTAATTTCTCTTGCAGAACTGAGGATCATTTGTATCGATTACAAATCAATGATAGCAAAGATGGATTATTGAAAACTGAAACACTCTGCTCTTACAATAACATCATCATTAGACGTTACGATTTAATTAAAATCGATGAAGTTAACACGCATCCAATATATAAAGCCAATACATACATCATTTCTGATAACCTATTTACTTGTTATGACTAAATAAGATTACAGATATTATTATTCTAAATACGTTGATAATTACGTACTCACTGTTAATGGAAAATGCCATTACAAACAAGAGTATCTATGTAAGTGGTAAATTATTAAAAGAAAGAATACAGCGAACAATCTTTTCTATATGTATGACCGTTGCAGCTGTCGATTTCGCAACGCGATAATCGCACTACGAGATTTCTTTTGATCCGATGATCGACGCTACGACGACGCAACGCGATGCGGTTTATATCGGCGATACTCTAACTGTTAATGCACAGAACGCATCGTTTCACGCCTGTTCTGATGAATAAATGTAATTTTCACTAGAATTTAACAAGGTTTGCGTGTCGAGTCACACTCACTGCACGTGATAAATGAAAGAAATGTAAAAACAGTCTACAATCATGTTGCGTATTGAATTACAACGAAAAGTTGCACAACGTTGATGCGCACATTCCGGTGCAAAATTATGCCATCGGAAGTCATTTTGTATTTTATTAAAAATACTTAAACAGTATCTTAAAAAATGCAATTTACACACGTTAATGCATCCAAATAAGAAGTGAACTTTTATTTTCTAGTACATAATTTGTTCAGTTTTGAAGAATAGAAACGACACGTTTTGTGATACGATTGCACCCAGTCTTGTTTTCACCCTTGAGTGAATATTGTCATGCGATGATTTTAATTCGCCAAATTACGTTAGATTAACAGTATTCACGTCCGGCGCGTGCGTTCTTTTAACGGTACGTAGTTTATTTTATCGTTCCGCCGTCTTTCGATCTCGATATCGTTCCGCGTTCCTAATCGCGAGAATCTCTGCATACGCCGAGGCGCTCCAACACCATCCACTTAATTCCTGTGGGAACCTTCATACATTATGGATCCATCATCTAACGTCGCAGATTAAATCGCTTGATAGTCGATTATGAAATCCGGTTCGGAAATCCAAATCAAATCAGTAGAATTCAATCGAATCGAATTGAAACATCATCGTTCCTAGTCTCTCAACTGGCAGGAAATTGAAAATTGAGGAAACCTCGAGGCGCAATACACAGAGAAGAGAAGAAGCTAAATTGAAAGCAGAGATGCTGGTTATATAATAGTTCTTAAAATTATTCAAGTATAATTATTCGAATTAAACACATGATATATATGTAATGTACAGGAACATCGATTATGTTTGAAGAATTAATATTTCATGTACATCAGCCCAATATCTTTAACAAAGGATGAATGCAGAATTTCAATATTTTCAGAAACCTTTAAAATTATCGATGATCATCTTTAAAATCAGATAAAAAACAGCTTGCGCTCTTATACTGATCTCCGTTGTGGAAATTCAAAATCTCCACGACATGCATGATCGTTCACGCCTAAAAGTGGCTCGTGATCGTTACCGAAGAGGTACTCGACGTAACAAAGACGCGCGCAAGTCGCAATTAAGGTTCATCGAACGGACGACGTACTGAGATGGCGGCAAGGGTGTAATAAAAACGCACGAATGAAGATAAAGGAATTTCTGGGGATTGGGTCATGACCCCTTCGGCCCCACGATGAACCCTCGATATACGGGCAGCCGCTGCCATATTGCACACGTACTGTGCATTAAGATACGCCACGAATCCAGGAGGGTAACCAAGAGTAAAGAAACAGTACAAAAAGGGAGAGATATAGGTGGATGTGGTATCGAGTCTTTATCAGTTTTTTGCGTTCTCTAGTACCTACTTTAGCTGTTCAGTTTCGCTGGAGCATTGAAGTCGGAAGAGTATTTTCAAGTATAAATACTTGAATCACATTCCTGCCTATACTTCTAATCATACTTTTCAATCCAATTAGTATCAGTTGCAAGATTATAGCAGAACAGGCTTTGTGATATTCGTGAAATCACAATATAGGTACATCGAGTGATGGTGTCGCCTTTAAATAGAAAATGCTCGGCGAAGTAGGCCAGCGTCAGGAGCGAGGTCAAGAAACAACAAGAAATGAAAATAATGAACTCCGCCGATCTGGAAACTCTCCCTCTTTGAACTCGTCACGGTCTGTGGAATCCCCAAGCAGTCGCATTTCCTCTAATGAGAGTATTTACACGTGTCCGCTCGAATTAACTCCATAATAAACCGGGTACACCGTCCCGAGAATCATTTGTTGCGACTACGACGCGAAACGAGGCGTCGCGTCGCGACGCCTCCCATACAACGTGCAAAACTGTGTTGTTGAGTTTATTCGTGTAAAAGCGTTGGAAAAATCGAAGAAAAGTTCGGAACCGGTCGAATTAACGCAAGGTCGCAGGCAAATCCAACAGTTTTCAAAATATATTGAGAGTAATCGTGATTGTGGTGTTCCAGCAACGGGAAAATGCACGCGAGTCGCAAGATAAATCGACTAATTCGCCAAAACAGGGTCGTATTTCCACTGACTTTACGAGCTAAGCTTCTAAAGCTTCGATTTTCTTTTTTTCTCTCACGCTTACTCCCGGCTGCTGTCATGTTCGTAATTCCGCTGCACACTACACATCCTCTTTGTGCCTTGACTCGAAGTCCTATAAGCTGTACTTTACAACGCCCTTCGAAAACACCGAGTTGATTTGTGCGTCTCGCTACTCGAAATCTCGTGCGAGAATGAACGAGTTAATACTGTGTTACAAATTGGATGAAAGCCTGTTTGAGAAGGAATTGAAATGTTTGCTTGGTTTGATTTTCAGGGTCAGGATTAGAATAAGTGTTTATGGAGATGTACATATACTATAAAAAGCTTCTTATTGAATCACTTTTTTTAGTGTTTTTGCAGTACAGTTGCAAAATGGTAGTAGATCTACCTATTAAATTCATATTATATTAATCATTACTCCTACTTCTTATTACAATGTAGTATGAAAAGTATAGAAACACATTGTAATATTACATTTTCCAAATAGTAATTTGTAACTTGAATAACATACTATGATTAAAAAAATATTGATTAAAATGAACTGATACCATCCATAAAACTAAAACATTTGCAGATGAATCTGAAACTAGGAAACAGTGAGTAATGTGACCTATGTTAAAAGTAGGCCAGCAGCTGTGTGCGTGCTCCCATTTTCCTTCTTTCCCTTTCGTTTTTGCTTTTTTCTTGTCAGGCAGACGTGCAAACTCTAACCACCCGAAGAAGTGTCGTAACGTTTTATGATACATAAAACAGTGACTTTATGCTCGCACGATTCATGGGCTCATGTGGGCCTTTTATTAATCCATGACGGTGTTTTACGGTTATCGTGTAATAGTCTAACTCGTGGTACGCGGTCAAATCTAAGTAGCAGTGTGGACCCGTTAAATCGTTCAGGACGTCACGAAAATTAATTTACACTTCGTAATTCATCTTCCCTAACCGTTGTCTTCGGCTCATTTTCCTTCTGTTCCTATTGCTTTTATTATCTCTTTAATCGTCGTCCTAGATTTAATTTATGAACTTCATTAAATCTATAATTGTCATTCACGTTAATATATTTCTTCTGGAAGTTCAAGTAGCGCGAAACAAAATTTTTCAATGGCATACAGCATGTGTTTCATACAGGTAATAAAATAATTGATTCTTCTGTATTTTACTAATAATAAATAAAATCTTGTATTAACTTTCAAATCAGAAGCAAACTATTGTATTCTCCAGGGAATAGCTTTTGAAGATCTAATTGACAGATAAACAGGCCTGTTCAGTAATTGGAAACGATGGAATCTCATATTGTAGATAACGCGAAATGAAAGTGTGTAGTTACTTTCGATGTGGCTTCGAGATCTAGTATATCGTTAGGCTATACAAGGTGTTCGAGACTGCACGATTTTTCTCTGAGGCTGTGACAAAGGGTACGATTTTAATTCAAGAGTTCCTCTTCAACTTTTTTGTCCAATCGCTATTAGCAAAATTATTGACGAAAAAAGTGGATTACTGGCGAGTTCAAATACAACTTATACTGAAGGGGAAGATGTATGTAGCATTAAGTAACGATTATGTGTCTAATGCCATTGATCTACTTTATTCGTTAATAACGTTGCTATTAGTGGTTGGAGGAAAAAGTGGGAAACACACTTTTGACTCAGAATTTTACTCTTTTTCACACCCTCGGTGGAAAGTCATGCATTCTGGGAAACCTTGTATGTTAATAGAGTTATAACGTCGATTTATACGGATCGTTTATTACTATGCAGATATAGAGTTTTTTCGCGTCGCGTATGCGATCCTTCGCGCAAACATCCAAGTGTGAATTACATCCACCGTGCGTGCAAGTGCAACAGGCCAGCCAGCGCAATTGCCCACAACCCTCAACGTGTTTTTTCCTCTATCGATGTACTGGAAATTATTAACCTGCGAACGTTGAGTTAAATTATGAGAGACGCATTCCTCATCGCGGCAATTCTAGCAACAACAAAAAGCATCGTAGTTATCGTTCATTGTATACTTGCATCAATGAATTCTTCTTTGTATGGATAGATGTCGGAGGCGAGCTGCCTAGGCAAGAGAAATTGCCTTTGACTATTTTAATATGTTAAAAGTAGTTGGGATTCTATTAAGGATGTATTGGCGACAAATTGAATCCGGAATTATGCTTGCAAGCACACGCATCTTTGTAAAATATAAACTAATATTCGTGTGCATCGTCGTAGCGGTGAACTCAGAATTCTCAGCGGTCTCTCTGGAAACGGTATGAAATTAACGAGTCGCTAAATTAATGAAACCATCCCGCCGAGCTCGTACACTCGCGGAATGATTAGAGATTGTTAGTATACGTCGAGAACGCATCCAGTTCGACCGGACTAGGAAAATGTACCGGATCACTTTAATTGGACCGGTAGATTTACGCCGATTAAATTCTCGCTGTACTATGAAGATTTTCATACATCATTGGCTACGTAAGATATAATTCTGCTCGTATCGAGATCACATGATTACGTCATTTGACATCAACAGTTACTTTGTATAGTTTCTTACAGAAATTTCTAATAAATAAAATAAATTGACATCTGAAGTATAAAAATCTCGGGCAAATATTCTAATTTCTTATATGTAATTTTTTCTAGTAATTTTAACTTCAACAAAGTATTATTAAACATTTAAAAGTATGCATAGAAAGAAGTTTAAACGTAAATAGTTTT